CTTTCAGTGCATGTTGAACAATCCTTCCAAGTGATATTGATTTAAGCTACAGTCTGAGAATTATCACCATGAACAAATTCAGAATAAGAACATTAAGTTGGGATTCCCTTGAATATAAAACTGTTTTAGCACAGGATATGGGCAGGATTTATCACGCTATACACAGCAGAAATTCATTTTGGGTCTTCCTAAAATGAAAACAATTCAGACAGAAACTACATTTTTGCTGTAGTGAATCTCTACAAATAGGGAATCCTAAAACAATGAAATAGTCACTGAACTTTTCCCTTAAAAGAATCTTCAAACTTAACCATAGTTAAGTTAACTTAACTAACCAAACTTAACCATCACATAGTTTTGAAACCAAAGACTCCAGTTTCTTTTCTCTTATGCTGTTATGGCTTGTAGCTAGATGTCCTCCCAAAGCTTCACGCAGTCAAGTTGTAGGTGGGGCTTTTCAGAGGTCGCTAGGTCCAAGGTGTGTGGTGCTGGGATTAAAGGTGTCCTACTGTGCACATGCATGGCACCAGCCAAAGGCTGGATATGATACAAACAAGACAGATTTGCTGCTTCTGTTGTTGCGCTGCTCTTGCTCACTGCTTTGCAGTTTCCTCCTGCCTGTTTGCCATGGACTACTTCTCCTCTTTGATGCCCCTCTGCCATGCCACCCCTTTCTACCTTGGGGCCAGGTGACTCTGGACTGAAGCCTCTACAAACTGTGAACCGAGATAAACCTTTCCTCCTTTAAGTTGTGTTGTGTACCTTGCCTCAGCTACAAGAAAAGTAACTAAGACACATGCACAGCCTGATTTTCCCACATAGTACTACCACCTACCTCATTTTCAAAATTCAGGGAAATAGCATCAGGTTGAAAAACCCTTATTGTGGGCTGATGAGGTCCATAATCTCCCAAGCGAGTGGATGGCAAAGGCTTAAATAAATGAGACAATTTAAATGATCTCAGGGCTCCAGGAGAGTCCAACGCTCTTACAGCTTTGATATTCTCTGGTTTATACAAAGACTTCTCTGGGCAGCCTGTATTTATTTGGTTTTCAAACAAAAAAGGAGGATACTCAAGAAAAAGTGGGAATCTAGCAAGAACTTGGGAGAATTTTCCCAAGTAGTAAATTATGTCAATCAGGACAACTACCTTATCTTTAGGTTGGCATTTATTGTAGGAGTGTGGAGCCTGAAGCTGTCCTGTCCTTGTAGTTAATTGGGGTTGGAGCCAAACATCCTCAGCTGTGCCCTTATCTTGTCCTTTGAAGTGTCACAGTTTCTAGGTCAATACAGGCCTCAGGGTGGCCAGTGACTCACAAAGGTTTACTTACTATGAATCCACTGATCATCTTCAGATAAGGTGTCCAAACTTCAGACAACTCATAAGTAAACGTGGAAAGCCGATTAATATTACATCCTGCTCAGAGACACTTTGTGGTGATCTCCATCAAAATAACTTATTAAAGCACAGCACTGAAGAATATGTAGTTAAATATTTTTCACTTCTCAAAATTAGTTTTAGCCGGCGACATAGCTCAGCGGCACAGCAACTGCCTGGCAAGCACAAGGTCCTGAGTTTGATTCCTGGACCCAAAAAAAACCCCTAGTTTTATACCACATGATCATTCTCGTTGCTCCTTACCAAACTTTTCAGTATGACTTGTGCCTACTGAAATCACCAACTAGATAACCATGAAAAGATAAAAAATTAGTAACAGTTAATGTTATCTGGGTAAGCATGGCAAAATTCTGAAGGTAAAACTCAACCCCGGGAAGGACTTTACAAGCTGAGGAATGGACCGGTGCTGACGAACTTTTTAAGAGACAAAGGGCTTAAACTGCAACCCCAAGCCCACTTACGTATCACAGAGTGCCAATGCCACAATTAAACTTGAATCCTGATATGGTCATATAGAAAAAACTACTCATACATTGACATTTATTGTCTTAAAAGAAAAACAAATACCATGTGTCGTCAGTTCACCACTACTGGCCTGCAGAGTCAAAGGCCGCAGTCCTGTGTGGAAGTTCCAGGCCCCATATAGAGCACAAAACTACAAACCCACCAATATTTACTTTTGCAGGTATACTTCACAAAGGCAAGGTTTTCCTAATCCAGGAACATTACACTCACGGAATGAACGCCCTAGTGTGCTGGAACTTCTGACAATATCCATTTATCCTCTACAGTTTGTATTTGTTGAACCCCTCCCAAGAGCCAGGCACTGTAAGTGACACAAGAAAGGCTTCCGAAGACATCTAGGAGGAAAAAGAGAAGTGACCCAGGACACAAAAAGGAAAGAGGCAGAGCATGGAAGTGAGACACTGTGGTCTGTACTCAGAAAACACAGAGCAGCTTCATAGCAAACACACTCTTCACGTGAAGGATAGATCAGGCGTTGGCAAGCTGCTTCCAGAGATTCTGAAAGTACTGAAAACAAGCCCCTTCTTTGTGTGGCATTTAAATTTTATCCTAAAGGTAATGAGGAAAAGGGATCATTTTAAACAGGAATGGGAATGATATGCTTAGCATTTTTGAAAACACTTTCTTGGATGAACTCAGCTATTCAACCTACAGGATATGAACTGCCTTTATGATGTTCCAGTGGAAAGGCCCAAGAAGCAGACTCATCTGTTTGTCCAATGTGCCTGTACATTGGTTTAATGACTAGTACCTGGAAATAATAGCCTGTGCAGGAAGTGAAAAAGCATCCACGATATCTAAAGAGTGAACAGTTAAGAGGCGTGGAGCATTAACTTCTATCGACCCTATACAGCAAATTCGGTGTCTGAGAACCATAAAGGCCCAGAGACTGTCCCTAGCCTCCTTTAAACAAAGCACTTCTCACCTCTATCCATCTCTACCCACTCTATGCCACTCTGCTTTCAACACGTTCACTCTGCTCCTCAAAAGCAGTTTTCCACTTATTTAATCAACGCCTTGAAACAGAAATAACCAATGAACACTAGTCCTCTGAAGCAAACATCTGACTTTTACCACCTCTACAGAGCTTTATACACTAAGTATCACTGTTTCACTTATGGATGGTGGACTCATGCTACAGCCAGAAGTGACAGCTGTTCAAAAATGTAGCTATATAATAACAGCCATGATGGCACATGCCTGTAATCTCAGTTACTTGGGAGGCTGAGGCAGAAGGATTCTATATTCAGGCCAGCCTGGACAATTTAACAAGACTCTATCTCTAAAGAAAATTTTTTTAAAAAAGGACTGAGGATACAGTTCATTAAGAGTGCTTGCCTAGCTTGTGCTGAATTCAATCCCCAGTACTGCAAGAAAGAACAACAAAAAAGAGCATGGGCGTGGTGGCGCATGCCTGTCATCAATCCCAGCAATCTAAAGGCTGAGGCACAGCTGCAAGTTCAGGGGCAGCCTGTGCTACACAGTAAGTTCAAGGCCAGCCCTGACTACATAGTGAGATCCTGTCTCAAAAACAAAACAAAAAAGAGGAGAGGGATAAAAGTGAGGTTCTCTCTCTAGAGTATGTAAGGAAAAGGTCTGCCTGTGAAGAGTTCAGCTCTAAGATATTCTCGGGGTAAAACAGTAATGGTAAACAAAAACTGCACAAACATGGATGCTTATTACAAACATAACAACGAATGAAAGAAACCTAGAAGGTTTCAACCATTCAATGACTGCAGGGTGAAGGAAAGACATCTACAAGTGTATATACTATGACTCCGCTCACAGGGAACTCAAAAACAAGGAAACTAATCGCTCCATGATAAAAGTTAGCATAATGAGAGCAGGGGGGATTTTCTGGGAATGTCTCTAAGAATCTGATGAATTTGAGTGCCAGTTACAAACGTGTAGTCATTTTGTGAAAGTTAAATGTTTAAACTTAGGGTTTTCCCACCGCTGTACATAAATACTCGTGTTCACACTTTAAATAAACAAGTTACTTGTGCACTCCTTTTGGCAAGTATAAAAGAGGATGGTGCAAAGAGACAAGCATTGGTGTTGGGGCAAAAGAGAAAGTAAGAGACACAAAGACTGCAGAATGTGCTAGCTCAAGTCCTGGAGGAGCCATAGAGACCTGCATTACTTAAAGTACAGCAAGAAACTCAATTCCTTCTGGTAATTAATTTGCTGAACTAGAGCACTTCAGGAAATTTTTTAAAGCTTAGTTTCTCTAGCACCTAACTCACAAATCATTGTGAGTTACACAATGAACACACACCATGGGAGTAGGTATACCTGAATCCATTCACCAGCTCCCATTCCCAGTAACCAGAATATACTGGGAAGTTAAGTTGATCTGAGTACAGTCCACAATCTACAACTAACAAAAATTTCCTAACCTGTGCACCGAGGCTCCAACTATTAATTGTCCTAACCAAATGTGCTACACAGCATAGGTACACCTACAGAAATAACTGGCTCCTGGCTCCAGAAGAAAGTACCAGTATACAGACACTGCCCACAGCAGTCTTCCACTCAGTTCTCCACACTGTACTTCCCTGTGTGAACTGCTTCGGAGTACTTGTCACCAGCTGAAATTATCTCTTTTTTGTTTTATTTTGTTCCTTTGTTTATTTTCTCTTCCCCTCCTTTGTACTTCAAGCTCTTGGAGAACACAGACTTGTCTACCTTTCCACAGAGCTACCTGGCTTTGTTTCGTAAAAAAACTTGTCAAATGACCACAACTACCCAGGAGATTTACTCTCAGCTCACCAAGTCCACAGAAGATCATTCAGCACCAATAAATCATCAATATTATAGTCCAATATAACAGCAAATGTAAAATAAAATATTACTCCTCCTGGGTAAGGCTAATCTTTAGACCAACTTTTGTATGCCAAGGTTTGTACTCACTTGGAAATTGAAAGATTTGATCAAGTTTGATGATCTGGAAGACAGAGGTAATTTTTTGACATTCTATGGAAGATTTTTATGGAAGACAAACACTAGAACAAAAACAATGTGACCTAAGGCCCCAAGCAATCTTGTGGCCTCCCAGGGAACATGGGCCAAAAGGCCTGTGTCTCCCCTACTGTGGAAACCTCCTGTCCTTCCTGGAAGTTCTCCTTTTTGAAAAGCATCACAGGACAAAGCCCTTCTGAAGTTTTGAGCAAAGATCACACTATGTTGCTTTTCCTCAAAAAACTGCAGTGCTCCCTGGCTACTTAAGGGCTGTGAGTTGTTGGGAATCTGAATTGAAGGGGAAAAGTTCAAATTACAAACACAAAGAATGAGAGTTACCAAGGAAATACTTTATACAGAAAACATCTACTTCCTGAACCCTTGCAATTCATCACCCTGAATATCACCTTTTTTAAGTTTGGAATTGTGTTAGATTTGGAAGCAACTTCCCTTGCTTCTACTTGTCTGTAATTAAGGCACTAAAAACAACCAGGCTTGGTGACATACCCAAAACCCCTGCACTCAGGAGGCTGAGGTAGGAGGATCGCTGTGAGTCTGAAGCCAGCCTCGGCTACATCATCAACGCAGGACCATTCTTGACTACAGAGACGCAGTCTCAATCAAAGCTCAAATAACAGTGAAATTTTTACTGACAGGGGCAGTATTCAACTAATCAAATACTGAATTAAACATGATGTTGATTCTACACCATAATGAAAATCTGCAGTTGACTAAGAAAGTTCCAAATCTATGGTAATCAGCCAAAGTACCCATTTTCCAAGGTGTCAAGTGAACGCAATTTTAACAGTAGTAGAAGGTGAAAACACATCTCTACTGGCAAGGAAACACTCATCAAGATACAGCAATGTTTTGTTTTGGGACTGGGTCTCACCATGTAGCCCAGGATGGCCTCAAAGTAGCTACTTACCCTAGGCTGGCCTCAAATTCGACAGCACTCTGCCTCAGCCTACCAAGTACTGGGATCACAGGCATCTACCACTGAGCCTGGCTACAGTTTTTACTTTACAGACATTGCTTGCAGAGAAATACCAACACCACAAAAGTAAAATATGTTTATCATCAGCTTCAGGAAGTTACTCTGCCCAACACTAGGGAATTTCAACTTAGCAGACAAATAGTTAGGAAATCTTGTATGGTTTTTTTTTCTTCTTCCTTTAAAAGCTAGTATCCTTTCTTGAGACTGGCAGAGCAGGAGAAGAAATACTACTTCACCTCTCACCCTGGGAAAGAGATAGTTTCTTTCTCATTTACATGCTATTTTATATACACACACACACACACACTCTCTCTCTCTCCTTTATTTTCTACCTTGCAAAGCACTTGAGTATATAAACATCATGGAAAACCAACCTTCTGTTTCTTAAGACTCCTCTGTGCTCTAGTATTAAAACTTTAGAACACATCAAAATATGTTCATGAGAGAATCAAAAAATCATTGATGTGATGGCAATGGACTGTGATGATGACTGCTCAACTCAAAATTACTTTAAAAACTGCTTAATTACATTGACAATTGGTGAATACTAACTATGATATGTAAACCGTACCTCAACAAAGCTTTAAAAAAGTAATAACCAACAAGGGCTACAGAGCGGGATAGTATACTTGGAGGAATTGTGTCAAACTACTGTACCAGACACCCAACACATACTTGATAACATATCTAAAGTATAAACATATCTCTCTATGGTCCTCAGAACTTCCAAGTCTACTACACTTTTTTGATGGTTTTGTTTTTGTTTAATTTTTTGAGACAGGGTGTCCCTATGTTAAGGATAGCTTTGAACTAACTAGTAACCTGGGCTACCTCTAACCCCTGGCAATCTTCCCACCTCAGCCTTCCAAATGCTGGGATCACAGGTGTGCACCACCATGCCCAGCTCAAGTAAACAATACATATGAAGTCCCCCTCCTTTTTCTCTTAATGTGTTCCTTAGCACTTTCTGTGGTTCTTTTTTCCCAGCTCTATGATGCTCCAAAAAGAACCTAAGCCCTCATTTCTGAGTCACCTTCATAATTACATCTGCAGAATTAAAAATTACCAGGCACACATGCTCATACTAAGAACTAGCACATAATTTTGTTGTAGAAATTCACCTTGTGCAAAAGAAATGGGGACAAGGGATCCTTCCCACTGGTTTCCAAAGCCATCTACCTTGTAGTATTTCTCCTCTCTCTTTTTTCTTTTGCTCTCATACTGTGGATGATCCAACCCAGGAATTTCAAACTTGCAGGATCTTTGTAATTTCAAATATATTCATCTGGGTTCAAGTCTTAACATCCTGTTAACACTGCCCCGCTCCTCACCCAATGCCTTCAGCAGTATCTTCTACTTCTTAGGAATTTAATAAATTTTCTTTGGATGACTGGCCCTACTTCCCTCATCAAATCACTATCACCTCTGTCTTCAAGGGTCATCACAGCATCGTGTCCTACTGGACTACCACTAACTTAAAGCTGTTTTTCCTGGCTTGTCTGGTAGATGAAGGTGACAGTAATGGTTAAAAACTCCAAAACAGGGCCAGGGATATAGCTCAGCTGCACAGCGCCAGCCTGCTAAGCTCAAGGTCCTGAGGTCAACTCCCCATACAACAGAGAAAAAAAAAAAAAAGGCATTCCAAAACAAAAACCACAGGCTAGCCAATTGGCTAAGGCTGTCAAAATACAAAACCCTAGGTTAGACAAACACAACTTCTGGGCTAGTCAAAAAATTCAAACCAACAATGTTACCTAGTACCATTCATCCAAAACCGAAATACAGGGTTAGGGGTGTAGTTCAGTAATAAGGTGCTTGTCTAGGGTGAAAAGAGCCCTGGGTTTGATCCCTAGTATTGCAACACACAATTTTCTACTCCCATCAATACCAAATCTGAATAATACAACACAACACAACACAGAAAATGTCTACTTCACACAATCCAGTGATGTACAAAACAATTCCAAGAAAAAGGCCCAAGAAAAAAGCACTGCAGCAAGCCAATAAAACAGATAAATTAACCAAGGCAATAGAATGGATAGGAAAGGATGAAAACCTGTCAAAGCCATTTGCGCACATGAAGCCATTCCACAGTACAAGAAAGCCAAAATAACAGTTGCATTTCTGAAGAATGCCTACTGAAAAGATCGAAAACACTAAAGTACTGACAATAACCAAAATAAATTTAGGCCAGGTAAAAGTATCCTGAAATGACAGCTTACTTCTCAGACCTGTGAAATTATGTTCAAACCCTACTTGATGGCAGACATCAAAAAATTACATCAACTCCTAAGTACACTGTGTGAGTTCCTTTTCCTTCACAGCGG